ACCCCCCCCCCCCCCAGCCCTTCCCTGGACCCGGGACTCTGCCACGCGTGCTGAGAGCTGGACAGTGAAGGGGCAAAGTTAAAGAGGACCGGAGAGCCACCTCGCATTTACCTCTTTCCCCCACCACCAAGGAGATGCGTTCCGAGCCATGCAGCGTGTCTCTTCTGTCACATTTTGATGGCAAACATCTTCCCCTCCGCGTGAGATCACTGTCTTTTACATTCAGCTGACATCACATGAAGTCACTTGAAGTGGAATGACATGGGCGGCGGCGCGGCTCCGGTAGCGGCCCCTGTGTTCCCCCGCGCCTGCCGGCCGCCGCCACCACCGCCCCTCAAACTTTAAAAGGAGGCAACTGGCGCCCGCGCTCCCCTCGGGAAAGTGCGAGCGGTTTGCGAATCGGGAAAGAGGGAAGAGACGGGAGGGGGAGGGGGAGGAATCGTGATGGTTTTGCCGGTGGAAGGAAGGGGGGGGGAGCCCAAACCCAAACCTAGGCAGAGTTCCGTGCGTGATTCACAACTTTGGAGGCCTGCAGGTTTGGGGGACGCGGGGAGGGCGGGGGGGGTCCCGGACGCGCCGCCGCCGCGGGCCCCTGGGTGTCAGTCTAGTAGCCGAAGTATCCCTTAGCCCTCCGCAGCCGAGCTGGGCATCGTGCTAATAAACTGCCATTTATCCACGGAGCCGGCGCCAGCCCCGAACACGCGCAAATGATAATTACCTCATTAGGATGTGGCGCATGGACGCGGGCGCCGCGTTTGGAGGGGGAACTTGTTAATGGGGAAATATTAATTTATGCAAAAGCAACGAGCTCGCCTTGGCTGGCGTCGGAGGTCGGGAGAGAACTCCCGCCGCCTGAGGACGACCCCGAAGCGTCACGGAGAGCAAGGCCGCGCGCGGGGATCCCGGGGGCCTCGGCGCCGGGCGGGTGCGCCTCCCGCTTTCTGGCCGGCTCTGCGCCTGAGGCTGGGGGAGACTGCACCGAGAGCCAGAAGCCTCCTTGAGATCCTAATCGATCAGAATTGCTGATTTATGATCGGGTATCTGAGGCAAAGCCGGGCTCTTCTGCTGGTTTAGGGCTGCGTGTGGGGAGGATTCGGAGGGCAGCTCTCCCAGCTGATGGGTACTTACTGTTTGTATAATTGAGAAGGTCCAATCTCCACCTGTTTAAGGAGCAGATTGAAACAGCAGAACCTCCCCTGGATCCTATTAAAACGTTTTTCCTCCTAAGGCCATTCAGTCGAACCAATTTTCCGAAGTGATTCATAGAGCTGAATTCTGCCAAGGCAGCTCTTTCACTTTTAGCCACTAAAGCACCGCGTGGAACCGGGTTTTGTGTTTTTCTAAAATAAAGAGAAGGATTATCAGAGAGAAGAGGGAGGGGGCCCGAAGGGGGGCGGGCAGAGACTTAGTGTGGCCAGAGGTACAAGCAGAGGGAAGAAAAGGCCCTTTTCTAGACAGGCCCCAAGTAAGTTCGGAGGAATTCAGCGTTTTGTGCCTGGCGCACAAAAGCAGCGCGCTCGGCGCTTGGTTTGGAGGGGCTGAATGCATCTGTTTGCAGACCATTCCACCTGCGTATCACAACAAACTGCTCAAAGACGCTCCAGCACTTTCAACAGGCCGGGTGCTCTTGGCGACAACAAAAGTGATCGAGGCTGAGGGTTCTTATGGGGGGGCGGGTGGCAAGCAAGAGAGCCAGCGAGAGAATTAGGTTTAGGAAATGGGGAGGAGGGGCGCAGGGGTTTTTGAAAACTTTTGGCCGGTTTTGTTCCCGGGACAATTATATCTTTCCAGTCGGCTTTTGCAAGACCACGAGCTTTGTAGCCGCAACCACAGTTTAAGAGGATTACGGTGGGTATAATATGAGCAAACAGGGTTGAGGGTTTGATAGTGAATTCCATCTCCAAAGACACACGATCATCTGCAGCTGAGGAAGTGCTGCTTGGAAGCAAAACCTCTCTCTTCAATCAGGAACAGGTCTCCGGGGTGCTGAGTATCCGGTTTCAGGTCCCTCAGCAGTGGAAAATGTCCCCAGAAACCGTGAAGGGATGGTGGAGGAGAGTCCCAAGTTTAACTTCAGGCAAATCTCTCCCTTTTTCCTTTCAGGACTTTTCTTTCCTTCTACTCACCCATCCAGTTGTAGCTCCAATGACCGACAATTTTAGACAGGATATGGACGTAGCAGGTAAGGAAAAGGACAAGTGTACCTGGGAAATAAAGAGAGGGAACAAAGAGAGATGTGGTGGTGGGGAGGGAAGCGACCTGAAGATGGACTGTGGGAGGTTAATACTCTCACCCTGCCAAACTCTGAAACTGCCCCCAAATTTAGCAATCAATCACAAATCTGTTCCCTTAACATCACTCCCATTCCCAGCGACCCCAAACTTCCAGATTTCCAAGCTAGAAAGAGGCTTGTTCATCTGGAGAACACTTCCACACAGTCCATTTAATTTAGGAGATGCTCCGAGAGGTGGAATTCCAAACCCAATGTATCCCCATCCCTACGTTAATGTGAACACAAGATTATTCCCTCCTCCCACCAAACATGAAACAAACCAACTCACCCCAACATTGAAACAATATCAATACACCTGCAGCATCTCAAGACCCGAATTTCTATCCCGACTTTCCTGTGGATCCCGCCTGCCACCAGCAACGCACCCCAACCTTTTTTCCAAATTGAGTAATTGTTGATCTCCGCAGCAGCTCGAAAGATCTGCTGGTTTAAAAGCTCCATCAGGCTGAAAGGCTTCCAAGGGCTTCCCATGAACCTGCCTTGCCATTTCTAGCGCTTTTTGTGGCTGCATAAGCCATCTCTCTCTCGCCGGCATCACAAAGGAGTGCTACCTCCACAGAAAGAAAACATTTGGGTAAAAACAAGTTGCCCCTAATGTGCCTCTCTTTCCAAATGTTGGGTGAATACACTGGCTTTTATGAAAGTATTTAATTAGCTTCCACAAACTTCTCCTTCCCTCGCCTGCAGATTATATTGAAGTGGAGGGTTGGAAACTATTTTACACCTTGCCACTCACATGTTAATTAATCTCTATCTAACCCTAATTGCAGTTTATTCAAGCACCGCTCAACAGCTCACCCACACAATAAACACTGATCCTACTTTTATACATATTACTTCACGTTAACACATTGAGTAATTAACTCCAGTACCAACTAATAGTGCAAACAAATATTTTCTGTAAACGAGATGATTTCAGGCAGAATAATAGAGGACTGGGGAAATGTGGCGCATGGTGGAGGGAGTGCTGAGATTTCCATTCACTGCCCCCAACCCTCCAAATTCATTCTTACATGCAGCATCTTTTTTTGTGTGTGTTTATTTTGAGGCTGAACTGCTTTCTTTTTCTCCAAAAGAGGGACAACTATAGTAATTAAAATTTCACAATTTTAGGGAGTTGATGGAGAGGCTCAGCGGGGAGAGAGGGTGACTGTGAGGGGATCAAAAATGACTCCAAGGGCAACAGGAGGCTTCAGGGTTAAGCAGATGTTTCAGGAATGTAAATCCATTCACAGTTTGAAAATAAAGTGTTTCTACCCATCCTATTTCCTGTCCCCACCAAGAAGTCCTGTCCTTTAAAGAGATGATTTTCCAGTAGAAGTGGGCCCAGGCTGTGGTGACATTCTGGAAGTCCCAGTCTCTCTCTCAACCCATGTGGTCACTCGTATACCATCGGAGGTGTGGGTGCCCCGAGGTCGTCGAGTCCAGGACCCGGAAGGCCGCCTGACCAGGAGGCACGGGGTGGTGGCCCGAACGAGGCCTACCAGGCCACAGCCCGCACTCTTCTTCAGGGGTGGGATTCTCAGGTGGAGCTCTGGTAATCCAGGGGCGCCCCGGCCCACGGCCGTCTGCCTCGCTCGACGGCATGGGCTGCAGCCCTTCACGCACGGCTGGGCCTGTATTCACCACGGGGCCTTCTCCAGCCCAAGGCCTCAACTCCAGGCCTGTTTCCTTCGGAAAGCCTCATCGCCATCTGACCCTCTCTGGGGCCTCAACATCTTGGCCGCGGCAGAGAAACACACCACCAGAGTTAGGCCTGAAACCCCTCGACGGCCTGTGTGCTTCCCACGCCGCAGAGCAGGGCGCGGAGGCTGAACGCGCCTGCGGCTCTGGGGGGCCTGACCCGAGGCGGCGACCTCTGGGATCCGCGGCCGTGCGACGCCGCTCCCTGGCCGAGCCGCTGGCTCACCACTGATTGGGGATCCGGGCCCAACCCCAAGGACT